AACAGCTGGCAATACTTCTCCTAATGCAATGCAGGATACTATTAGCCTTCTTCGCAGAAGAGTACAATTCTGGCTCATGGTTCACTTTGTGCCCACCAGAACTCCCAGGTCCTTCTCCTCAAAGCTGCTTTCCTGCTGGGTGGTCCCCTGTATACATTTATGTGAGTCCATTCCTGCAAAGCTTTGCGCTTTCCCTTGCTGAATTTGATAGTGTTCCTGTCAGCCAACTGCCCAACCTAGCAAGGTCTCTCAGGATGGCAGCACAACCCTCTGGGGTATCAGCTCCAGAGGGCATTGTCCTAGTTTTGTGCCACCTACAAGCTTGCTGAGGGTACACCCTGCCACATCATCCTGATCATTAATGAACACGCTGAACAGAACTGGAACCAGTATTGATCCCTGGCATATCCCACTAATGACTGGCCTCCAACTAGACTTCATGTCACTGATCACCATCCACTAGGCCCAGACATCCAGCCAGTTTTCAATCCACCTCCTGTCAGCTCATCCAACTCATATTTTGTAAGCTTCTCCATGGGGATCTTATGGGAGATGCTCAGTGTGGGTTAGGTGTAGCTTCTCAATGTTTGGAAAATGCACATCAAAGATGCTGGCATGTTGTAACAGTATAGGAGTTGTGAAGAGCTGAAGGCTGACATGAGAAGCATTACTCTAAGAACAGTGCAGCTCAAAAGTCAAACCTTTTGAAATTTTGAGAGTTAAATTTGCAATATCTGTCCATAAACAGATAAGGATATCTGTCCATAAACTTGTTTACAGAAGATTTTGAATTATGTTTTAAAAATGGTACTGTAGCAATACAAATAAGGTCTAGAAACAGTACTCAAACTGTTTGACATAATTTAAAAAAAGTCATGCTGCTAAGAAAATAGTATTCTGTGTGACCACACAATTAATTTTTGTGGGGGTTTCTTGTTTGTTTTGGTTTGGGTTTGGTTTGGGTTTTTTGTCATAACCTGTATGTTTGCAACACTAAGTTTTTGGAAAATTTAGACAAGTCAGTTCTGTGCCCACCTCTTAGTAAAATAAATGCCTTAGGAAGAAAAACTGCTCATTGGAATGGCTAGAGTCAAAGAACAGAAACAAAGTTAACAAAAGAAAAGGCAAATGTAAGAAAATAATTTGAGAATTTAATGTTATGGACTTTTATGAGGTAAGAAACTCGTCAAATACAGCCAAGATGTCTGCTGTAGCTTATCGTTATACACTACTGTCAAAGTGTTTAGCCTTGTGCTAGACACCTCTCATCTTGCTTTGCTACCAAGTGTTAGAGAAGTTCTGTTTTTCCTATGGAAGTCCAACACTACTGAAAAAAGGCTCTGACTCCAAAACCACACAGCTTACAGCCAGACACTGTTATAGGCCCAGGAAAGCCACAGTTGCCACACTGTGCAGGACTGTCCCTAATGTCATCACGTAGAAAACCAAACAGAACAAACCGATTTATTTTCCATTTAAAGTGTGTAGTTAAAAATACTCTCTAAACACTCCTTTTTCTCCTCAGTCATTCTCCTTGCATCTCATTTATATTTTCATTTGAATTACATGGTGTTAAGAAATACCATAAAACATTTCATTTGCTCCTTTATTCAAATATTATCTGTTGACTCCCGAAGATATTTTATAGCAAGCGTGAAACTTAAATTAAAATCTAATTATTACAGTAATTCTTGCTTTTAACTAAGAGCACCTGCAACACATACACAATCTTCTCTGTTAAGTTATCACTGAAAGCAGTTTTGAGTTTTCTCCCTGACCTCCCCAGGGAAAAGCAGCTTTTACATTAACTCCTTAAGATGGTAATTTCCATGTTAGTACCCTCCCAATGATTTACCTTCAGGGATGAGATGCTGTCAGGATTGTAATTTATTACTAATCCTCCCCAAATTCTTAACCAGCATTTCACAGAAACTGAGGAGCTCAGGAACTTTTCATACTAAATAGATGTTATTTCTTCAGCAACTTCAATTTTAACAGTGTATTTCACGCTACCCCAGTCAGATGCTGGGGAAAAACTCAAAAAAAACAAAGGTTGCATTTTTCCCTCAAACTACAACAAAAGCTCTTCTCTGTATGTATCACTACACCAAACTTACAGTGACTTTGATGTCTGAAGTCATAAGAAAATGGAATCCAGAAAGCTAATATACTGACAACCACATCAAACTGCAATGTTATCTGCCTTTCTATCATACTCAGTAACACAAGTCCTCAATTGTCAGCAGCTTTGGTCCAGCACAAAGCTTCGATGTGTTGTCCCCCATGCGTCACCTTCCCCCCAAAATCCCAACACATCAAATGCTACAATACAGCATAGTCTGATAAGTCTGTTCCTTGTTACATTAATAGCTCACCACATATTTCAGAGTAACACATTAAATCAACCTGGACTTTCAGAGAGGCCCAGAACACTCAATCGATCCTTAAAAAATGGATTTTTAACTGGATTAGTCATTAGGGCAAATTTGCTAGTTCCATTCTTTAAACTGCAGCCATATCTAAAGAACACCAGCCCACTGCATCCCTCCTCCTGTGGAAGCAGTAGAATATGCTTTCACAAAGAAAGCCTAGAAGCATACACATGCTAAAGTGAGCTTTTTTTCTCAGTTTCTACTCAAATTCAAGGCTACCTGCTGACAGTGCCAAAGCCTTTTTTACCCCTCAGCTTTTCACAGTATTGTATATTACCACAATGCAGAAATTCAATTTCAGAGCAGCTATAATCTAATTCCTCACACTGAAGGCCACACAAAGCAGTACCTTTAACATACGTTTAACTAATTGTAGAATGGATAAATGGCACTGCCACGGACTGAAATAGAAGCACTTGATTCATCAGTTTCATGGTAGGATTAAATCAGTCAACCGCAGTCACTGCAGGCACAGTATTCCTACGTATTTCTAGTATTTTGTGTTATAGCAGGCATTCAACGTAAAGCCATTTTTAATTAGGTATGAAAGGATTTACTAACATATCACTTATTACAATACAACCTTTATTAGATTTTAATTCAGATTTTTTTCCTTCATTGTGAATATGAGTATACAGAAGACCAGATACACCTTGTCTTTACCTTCCTTTAACATACAGTTGCAACACTGGCATTGAAACAGCCTGAAGACATACAGAAGTCCAGGGAACATGAAAAAATTTCTGTTATGTCTGTACCACAAATCCTCAGCTCTTCACTGATATAAACCAAAGATCTGAGATCACCTCTATCCAAAGACATAGGAACTCAGATACACATCATGTCTCCATCTATTTTTTTTCCCCCATCATCTGCTAAACATTTGTGGAAAACTTTGAAATAGTTGCTTTTGTTCTTGTGTTTACCCGTACATAATAGTATTTTCTTTCCATGCTTAAAAAATTAGTGGCTCATCCATTTCTCCCACTCTGCCTTAATGCTTACCTTCTGTAAAACAGAAGGGATAGTTTCAGAAGGAAAAAATGCAGCAGTTGAAAACAAAGGAAGTCATACTTTCACACTCTACACATTTGCATGGACAGCTCAGTTGAAGTTTTCAAAGGAACAAATAAGCCTAAAGTCTTAGTAAACAAGGTATTCAGACAAGACTTGCTCATGCTTATGTTTACTTCATTTATCACTCACTATTTGTATAAGTCCTAAATACATTAAGACTGAGGCAACAACATTGAAGACCAAGGTATTGTCGTCATCTGAGAAAACACAGACAACACAAAACACTGAAGTTATTGAATGCTGATGGAAGCCACATATTTCCAAATTCAGCTAGTGTTGAGGACAGAAGCATATTGTAATACACAGCTGATCGTGTTCAAAAATAACACTGGAAGCAGAAAGTGTCAGCAATAAATTGAAAAACCTCCAAGAATCATAGAGTCATTAAAGTTGCAAAAGACCTCCAATATCATCAAGTCCAACCTTTGACTGTATACCACCATGCCCACTAAACCATAGAGCAAAGTGCCACATCCATTCACATCTAGGGTTTTTCTTATACACCATGAAAATAAAACAAATTTACTGCTGACTGAAATGTAAACAATGTTACATTTTAAATCTTTATAGATGTCTGCTAACAGTTATAAAAACAATATTTAGCTGTTTGAACAAAACACTGATAATATTCTTCCAGCTAATGAGTTCGTCCTTAATGTTAGTCTCATGGAGGTTAACATAACACTACATGTGTTCTTCAGTAATGTAATGTAGTTGAACAAGAGATTAATCTTTCCTGCTATACTTAAGGGAAACAAATTTAAAAGCTGACATTATTACAGGCTAAGTGAAGGTCTGGGTCTTTTTTGACCGTCACATAGATGACATAGATGTCAGCAAGGTAGCCTGAATAATTTAATGACCCGTGTCACTTTAAAAAAAGGCTTAAAGTAATAAAATTTTTGGTCTGGGTCAAGTTAAAGCACCTAGTCAATGGGGCTGAGAGCAATTCAGCTCATCTAAGATACCCACTAGCTGATCCACCCAATTGTTCTCCTACCTACTGCAAAGACCCTGATGACCACCAGGCTGTCAAGGCTGACACATCTAAGAACCTGTACTGAACTGCCACACCTAATTCTGCTACAGCTTACGCCAGCTGGAGAGACAGAAAATCATTAGCTAGCAGTTAGGAGTCTAAAGGTAGTATTCAGCTTATCCCTTATCGCCTTACCCAGTTAAGACAAACACTCTTCCCTCTTTCTTATATACTTGTTCTAGGAGAATTTTATACATTTATAGCCTGAAACAAAACACCTCCTTGGGTAGTAATGCTTCAAATTAATTTATTTCATGAGCTCTTGCTACAGAGGTACTTAGAGTTCACAGCAAAGTTACATGCGAACAACTTCACCATGCTAGAGCCAGGATGCAATGGAACAAAGTTATATTAGCAAGGACATGAACTTAAAGATTAAAACTTACCAGGAAAACAAGACGATACATCTAAGTATCATGAATGTAAAGAGCTGAAAAATTCACATAACTTACTGTGTAAGTGATAGCCGCCAACATTCCAATCACAGTCAACGAACTAATGGAAAATGAAAGTGCAGTCAAGCCATCTGAAAAAAAAAAAAAAAAAAAAGAGCCTTCTGAAAATTCTTACAGTAAATGTGTAAGAACCCTTCTTCCTGAATTGGTTTCCGGAAGAGATTTAAATTCATGAGAATAAAGAAAAAGATTGAGACACAGTTACCAGCCCTAACTCAGCATAGCTTTTTGTCCACAGTAGATCTTCCTTGCACATTGCAGGAAGTGGGACAGACTCAAAGAAGTTGCATTCAGTCAAATGGCTGAAGAGTCACTAATTAACTTGCTCCCATAGCTGTCTAGTGACTCTTAAAGACCTACTTCTGGCTTCCCTAGGGTGCTGTGGTAACTTGCACAGTTTTCACATGCATTCTGGATGGTTAATCTTAATTTTCTTCATCACCTAATTTCTCCTACTAAAGTATTATACAGAATCAGCCAAGCATGGATCTTTCAAGCAACCAAAAAAAGCCAGGCTGCAGGCCTCAGCTTCACTCAATGGACATGCAGACTATAAGCTGGAAAAAGTTCAGGGGACTAAAGAGTTACTGTAGCCTTATTATCACTCTAGAAATGAAAAGGGATAGTAAAAGAAAGAGTTACCAAAGAAAAAGGCATTAAACTCACACAAACCTCCTGCATAATGCTTCACAACAGGCCTGTCCCTAACCTCACTGTGCAGGACACATCACAAATGGTTTTGATAAAATAGTAACATGGAAACTTACAGTAGATACTACAGAAATTAACCTTCAGCAATCAAATTCATATTTCTGCCAGGTCATAACCAAGCTAGTATTTAGAGTTCTTCCCCATGTTCTCCCCTTTAGTTAATTCAAAAATTTAGAGTATAGTTAACTTTTATTCTTACTCACAGAGAATTACTAGCCAGATTCCATTCTTATTTTCTGAACACAGAACCAAGCAGTCATAAACTGAGATCCTCCATGAGAAGCTGCATCTTACTTCTGACCAACCCTACAGGCTTCTTCCTAAACTAACAGAATAGCACAACCAAATCCAACTTTACAGCTCAAATCTCCCTTTTGCTCTTTTTGCCACATAATACCAAACAACTTTCCAGGAACTAAAAGCAGTATGTCCCTAGATTTCAATACTAAAGCTACGTTTAAAACTTATAGAAAAACCCTAAACAAAAAACCCACAAAACCAAACCCTAAGCCTAGCACTCTTCTCCCTTAAGTACCTGTGAGAATTTGACTTAGTTTCCGAAGCTCAAGGGGAAAAAAAACCCAACCAAATGAGTGACCCTTACTTGCAACATATCACACAATGTACTTACTGTATTTGATGTTCCTTCTGTACAAGTATTTGAAACTAACATTTAATATCCATTTTAAAAGTCTGAACTATGTTCAATGGAACATTAAGAAACTAACTGGCTGAAAAATTTATAATTGTATACCACAAGTATATTATCAGGCTCTGCCTCAGTGGATGAGTTTACATTCCTTTTATTATCCCACTACCAACTGATGATGTTGGATACTTGTCCTCTGTCTCAAGATCTTTATATTTCTTTGGTCCACTGCAGACAGGCAAAGGAAAAGGGTAAATTAAGATAAAAACAGGACAATAGGTACAAGTAAAGACAACAGGCAAGTATTTTGTCCTTGTTTCTCCAGCAACTGGAACACAAAAGAACCTTCTGCAGACATCTGCTGTTTGTGGAATAGCTCTACAAAAGCCAGAAAAATTTTAGGAGACAGCAATGTGAAGATAAACCAGTAGTGTGCCCTACCAGTATGGAAGTCTAATAGAATCCTGGACTGTATCAACTGGAGCATGCCCCTCTGTTAAAGGATGGGACCATATAAGGAATGCTGCAGCCACCCTTGCTACAGGTAAGACTGACAAATCTGAGCAAGTTAAGAGGAGAACTAAGCTGGTCAGAAGTTGGAGCACTTGCTGTGCAGCAAAGCTGAGGAGCCAGGCTAGTTCAGCTGAGACAGAAACAGCTTTGGAAACACCTAATGCAGCTTGTCTGTTTATCAAAGGGGTGGGGTCCAGGCTCTTCAGTGGTGCATAGTTGTCCAGTGTGAGACAATGGGTGATGGCATTAAAGCCACACTGGGTAAGAGGGGAGATTCTTTCACAACACGATAAATGAGTTTCCAAACTTAGGGGGTTTTCAAGAGCTAGCTGATAAAGCCCTGAGCAACCTAGCCTGACCTAACTGCTTCCTTCTTGGTGCAGGAGATTTGACTAGATGACCTGAGGTCTCTTCAGCCTGAATTATCCTATGAAATTGGAAGTCATAAGAGAATGCTGATGGAGTCAGAACACAACACCAGACTTCCACATCCCAACCCAGCATCCTAAAAATTATATCTTCCTCAAAATAAACATTAGCTATACTGTATTTTCATAGCAAAACAGATACAGATAAACATTTCATTATGGTCATATCAAGGTAGCCTGGAAAAATCAGCTTACATCTCAGCTCAACCACTGTCACTATCTGTACAAACAAACAATCTGAGAAGCATTTATTCCTACACTGTCATAATCTTTGCTAAACAAGATTAACACCAACAAACAGACAGCCAAAATGTTGAATAAGATATGGACAGAGCACATTATGATTAAAGAGCCTGCAAGGATGTAAAAGCAAACAAAAAGGGCTTTGAGTATTTAAGAGGCAAGAGAAAGATGATGAAAATAGGGGCCTGTTGTCAAGTGGGGCAGGGGCCCTGGTGATACAGGACTTGTCCAGGACTTTTTCATGAAAAGTCCAAGTTACTAAATGCCCTCTTTGCCTCAGCCTTTTACTAGCAAGACCAGACTTAGGAAACCTATTCCTGGAAGCTCAGGGAGAAAGGTTGTAAGAAATATGTACTCTTGGTGGAAGAGGAGCAGGTTAGAGAATACTTCAGCCAGCTGTACATACAAAGTTGATGGGCCCTGAAGCACTGACAGAGCTGGCTAATGTCATTGCAGGGAATTTTTAGTCAGGAAGAAATTCCTAGAATAATGCAGAATGTGATTTGACAAAGGCTTGTGTCGTTATATTCTAAAACATTCACACAGAAGCCAATACTCTGATATACAGAGAATGAGGCTCAAAATATTGGAGTACTTATGCACTGGGATTAATGTTTGCTAGACGACTTTTAGTTACCTTCTTTTGGACTGCAACACAAAGTCTGTCTTATCTCACCCATAAAACACTTACTTCACACTTTTTCCCTGAATATGGAACACATGAATTGCACTGGCTAAAAAACATGAACTGCACAAGCTAGAGGTTAAATACTAGTTCATGGAGTTTGGCCTTTACAGCCCTAGTATAACAAATGCAAATACAACAATTTTAGAAAAGGTCAGTACTAGGAGAACAAAGGGAATGAATCATAACACCCATAGGATTTTCCTGTCTAAACAGACAAAGGCCACCTACTAGTCTCATTCTTCCAGTGAACAGCATTATTGCATTTCATTAGGTACAATTACAGACTGTCACGTGGCAAGATACACACTCACCATAACCTAAAAAAAGTCAAACTCCAGTATGCAAATAGCATTTAAGAGCTGTGTAAAGTGAAAACTATTGAAGAAAGTACCTTCCCCTCCCCATCACTAACATCAGAGGACACAACATTGGAATCCATGTTGTCAAATGCGGACTTCACTGAAAGCAGACACTGCCAGTGTCTCCTCTCTGTACTTTAAAGACAGTTCTAAATTTTCTCTGAACAGAAAGAACAATCTTATTGCAAAGACTTAGTGTAGGTGAACAGTTGAAGTCAAGGTAGAAAACTGTCACAAAGGAAGTTAATTATCTTGTTCAGTCAATGACAAGTGTGCCAAAACAAGTTAGTAGCAATTTATGCAAAGCTCACAACACATCTCAGACTTACGACTACTTCCAAATTCTTCAAACAGGAGCTTCACTTTCTCCCACTCTGTGGAATTTTTCTTGTTGGGAATATCCAAAGGAACAAAAGCACTGTAATACAGAAAAAAAATAATCCTTCTTATCCTAATTACTCAAATATAAAGAGAATTCTTCTTTGCAATTAAGAAAACAGAAATCCATTCATTCCTGAAGAAACAGAGTTCTGTGACATTAAGCTTCAAAAATTCTGAAGGCAGTCTTTCATTTTATTCACATTCCCCTCAAATGTTTTATTTAGACCTACAGAATACATGTATGAGTGTGCAGAGTCAGGCTTAAGGTCAATGAACAAGTGATTTTCTATTTCCCAGTCCTAAAAGAGGTAAGGACCCTACATTCAAGTATCATTAAGATGTATTAATCCGATTTACTATCCTGATTTGATTCACATGCAGAGGAGCAAATAAACTTAAGCATCAATTGAGACAAATTCTCTTATAAATACACACTTCTGAAAGCCAGAACAAAACAATTTATGATTTCCAAAACAAGTATTAAAATTCAAAGGGATATGTTTATCTTTCATTATTACAACTAAAATAATGCATCTGCTGCATTCCATTCTTTGTTCTGTAGTTGGCCCAGGGAAGTTCATTACATATTTTTGATTTTCCAATAAGCAGAGACTAGCAAAGAATGGTCAGAGAACGGTGTCAAGTAGAACAGTCCCCTAACTGAAAGCTTCCTGTTGTCAGTCTCACCATCCTAAGTAAAACTATACAAGTAACTCTTCAGTATCTCTATAGACAAAACAGCTGGTTTTGTAACAGCTGGAAAACCAGTATCTACATACCAAAAAAACACTGAAACCATTGCTTCAAGACATGAAACAGGATGCCTACAACTCACAAGAAGTCAGATTTGAAAGGAAACATTTTAGACCAAGAATGGGAGAGCCCACCCTAAGTCCAACACGAATGCTCGCAAGTATATTTCAGACTTGTAAAAGAAGGAGTACATTAATTAGATCCCCGCTTCAAGTTCCAAACAAATACACATATCCAGGAGTATGTCTCAGACTTTCAAGTACAAAACACATGTTATGTTTTGAAAGTTTGGGCTAGACCAACTGTGTGTATTATCACATCAAAACTAAACTGGAAGTCTACAAAAAAAGCTGACATTTTAAAAATTAAAACCTTAATTTCTAAAAAACTCTTGATTTGCAGCTTCTTGACTGCACTACAGGCAGATTGAGGGCTATCATTTACTTAATTTGATGCATTCTTGTTGACTTTAGATTTTCTTCTTGTATCTGACTCTAGTAGTAGTTCTTTCTGTAAAACAGCATCCAGGCAACATGAAGACATGGGTATTAAAACCAAGTTAGGCATTATTTCTACTTATGAGAGATAGAAATACAAATAACTGCAGGTTTATTCACTAAAAAGGGTTAAAATAGGAGACTTAGAACATAAGTGAGCTCAACTCCTTTTTATTTTAGCATCAGTACAGATTTGCTATCTGTGGACCACATGCAGGGAACAAATGAAACATCTTAGGATATTTATAACTTGCTTACCTTTTTTCCCCTGAGAGCAATAGGATTCCTTTTTTTTTTCCTGAGACTACAACCATCATGTCAAAAGACACTAATCAGAGCAGGAGCCACTATGTATGTTGTACACACTCTTCAATTATTACTCAGATAAATCTCAACTGAAGGAGACGGACATCTGATTCTGCTCCTCCTCAAGTTTCATGCACAAGACACAGTTAGCACACCCAGCCATCTACAGACATGCATCCAGTCCACATTCCCAAAGGATCTCCAAAACACAGCCTATCTATTGCATCAGCACATCACACAGCAGTTTAGCCTATTCTTCAAGCAACAAATTTGACAAAAGCCTTGGCTACTTTGCTGGGTTGACTATATGGTCAATGCAGCTTGAGGGCCATAGGAGTGATAAACAGAATGAGAAGTTTCCATGCCAAGTAACTCCATTTACCTGTCATCACTGTGATGCAATACAGTGCCTGAATAGAGTACAAGCACCAGGGTAGGCTTTTACAGCTGTAGCTGAGAATTTAAGTAACACAGCAAACAAAGCAGCTTAGCTGTGATGTCTGACATTTGGAGTTCTGAACATAAATGAAAGTATTACCTGCAGTAATTTTAAGAGTAGAAGGAAACTACATCCTGGGTATATTATGATTAAGATCTAGATCAATATCGAGGCTACAGAACAAGGAAAGTAAATGCAAGACAAGCAGTTTAAGACTATTAACTTTTGGCAAGGCTAATAACACACAGGTGTAGATGGGTTAAGTTCGATCCTTAAATCAAAGAGTGTCAATAACTGTCATCCTGAGGAAATTATTTTCCAACACACTACATTTAAACTCATTTGCTTAAAGCAAGTTCTGTGATATAATTCGCATAACTATTTACAGGTTAATTAGACATACATTCAAGCTTTTTAAGAACTAATGGTTCTAGAAAATTTAAGGTAGCCAGTTTAATTTCAAACACTGACAGTCATGGAATTATTCCTTTTGGAACCAAACACTCATTATGCTTAAAAGAAAGCATTTTTTTCACACTAGACTGCTGTGCAAGTGTGCCTTGATGAAGACTGTAGTATCTCAAGCCCCTTGACAAGCACATGACATTTAGAGATAAGTTATCTACTTTCCTTGTATTACGAGAAGGGAAAGCATTAGAAGTAAAAACTAATTCTGAGTATGCCAATATAAATTTGTCCTATATTTTGCTCTTAACGGTACTCCGCATAAAGTTATTTGTGTGCAGAGGATTTAAGCATTATAAACATGCACATTTTTGCCACCACAATAGACTAAAAGACAACTGGAGTAAGAGGTATAAACCCTATTCCTGATAAGAATTCAGACAATAACATCCTGATCATTGAGCTGTGCTATCCATTTAGAAAAAAACTTCCAAGGTCATATCTGTTTTGTGCCACGTTTCCCAAAACAGTCCAAAAGATCTCCAGCGGAGCAAGGTCAACATTCCAGTAAGAATGAGAGATTCTTAAACTTTGAACTTAAAATAACTTTCACTATTCTTTTGAGGAATGCTGACCAGGGAAGAGGCAGGAACTTCTTATGTAGACCTTTAAAGCTATTTATTGACCTGGTTTAATTATACAGATGACTTGCTAAATTAATCAGAACAGAGGTTGTCTGGCTATGAGATGCTAGTCATGTAAGCACAGGAAGACAGACCACTTCCTAGGCACTTAACTGGAAATATTCCAACCCCTCTTGCTCTTGTAACCTGTATCGATGAGTATTCTAGGCCATTAAGCCTAGCCACCCAGAATTAAATTCAGTATATAAAGTTACAGTCTGTTTTAATGTGCCTTTGATCATGACTGCCAAAGAGAAAATCCCATACTACTACCAGCAGGCAGTACTGCAAGACTGGTCTTCACTACCACATTCAGCTGAACCCCTCACGTAGAAGCTTCAGCTCCAACACTTTTCTCTCTTTCTTATCACACTGGGACTTCTGCAGCCACTCTTTGCCCTTGCTATAAAAACAGTTGATTAACTCTAGGCTCCCTTAAAGGGGAAATACAAGAATTACATTGCTCTGTACCAGCATCTTAGGTAGCAAGTGTGCTTTATTCTGAGGGCATTAGGATGATGCTACTCTTTTACTATTACCACCTTAAGAATGTGCAAGTAACCTACTATGTGTAATAGCAGTAAAACTGTTCCAGTTAGAACCAGAAATACCAAAATCCCCTGTGGTATCTAATGGAGTCCTCCTCTCTGCAGTAGATACTCCTGCTGTGTATCATTGGGGTTTGAGTCTGCACCTCTGGAGAACCAATATTCAGTAACTTAGTCCAAGACCACGTACTACAGCTCTGTGGTTTGCAAATCAATCTCACTGTCATACGGCACAGTATCAGAGGGGATGGTGTAAGCTGCTGTAATTTACAAGTTTTGTAGACCTTAAAGAATAAGGCTAACTGCACAAAGGATAATTAGGAAGTCAAGAACCAAGTTCTATATTACTAGGAGAGAAGAACAAACATGCTTACAGCTACTGAGGATTCAGTTGACACCTACTAGAGAGAATACAAAATTTTCTAAACTGGATATGTTATACAGTACATGTATATATGCCTATGATGTGAGCCAACAGTCAGAAACAGCTTTTAGTTCTAGTATTTCTAGACCATGATAAAGCTAACTCCTTCAGTCTCTTATAACAGCAAATATGCTATGACAATAAGGACAACAGACTTGTTAGAAACATACCTTTAATGTTTATCAAAACTAAAACATTACGCCAATAAGATGGTATACAAATAGAAGCATTAATTTCACTCTAGTTTCCACTTCATGCTCCAGTACTTTGACATGGATCATTTTAGCATATATTTTGTAATCTTCACCAACTTTACTGCTACAGTCAAGAAGCTCATGACACAGCAGACATTAGAAACATTCCATATTGGCATCCATGTCATGCTTAGTGATGATCTGAAATTGAGTTGGTAATATTGCCTGGAGTTTCCAAATAACAGCACTTCATTTCAGTAACATTTGCCTTTCAAACAAATGCCAGCAAAACCTTTATCATACAAGGCACAATTACATAAAGTATAACTCCATACTATAATTACATTCCTTCAGAGAACACTTCCATTTAGGAAATTATAAGCACATAACTCCTAATCATATTCCTAAAAAACTGTTTTGCCATGAAGCATTTGATAGAGGCAGAAAACAGAGCAAGTACAGATTTTTCACTCCCTGTTGTACACTGAGGTAACAATGCAGTTGTGTCATACCCATCAGGTCCTTGACACACATTCACAGTGCACATACAGTCAACTTGGAAACACAAGTATCTCCACAATGAAGAAACCATTTTAGATTCCACTTAAACTCTTTCTTTTCAGGTCCCAGTTCTCAGGATATTTAAACACTATTAGTGATTAAGCTGCATGGTTCATTATACAGACTGAGTGCATCATAATCTATCTCTTAGAAGCACACAACAGAACTTTGCTAAATAAATCTTGCATAGAACAGCATTCAATACAAATACTTACCCAATTAAGAGAAGAACTGCACAAATCGTGATGAATCCCAGAGTGTATTTGAGTGCAGTTTTAACCTGCTGTGTAATAAAGAGAAAGTTAATATATTGACATAGAATAAATCCAAAGGGTTTTTTTCCAAACTATGAAAAAGGTATACTTAGCGTAACAGGTATTCAAGGAAAAAAAAATCTCCATAAAAAGCATGAGTAGTTTTAGATGTAAGTCAGAAGTACACAGTCTTGAAGAGTCTCATAGCTTGAGAACTATGAACAATGACATGGAATTATGCTTCCATCGTAACCTATGCACTTAAGCATGGCCAGAATCCAGAGTACATTTGTTCAGTATAAGTAGTCTAAAAGAGAATACCTGATACTTTATATTATGGCTATGATTAGAAGTCCTCTCATGTTAAGATTACAACTGAGTGGAAGGGAAAACAATCACAATCAGTGACTAAAAGGTTCTTTAGAAAAGTTTTCATTTGAGAAGCTGGCACCTTATTGGTACGCATTTATTGTATTCCCTGGAAGGTCATGCATTTCAAAAATCTTCAGTGCATTACAAATATGACCAAGTGCTAGCTTCAGGTAAATTACTACTGCCTACTTCAAGAAAAAACGAAAACACTTCAGTAGAAAGTAGTGTAAACTTACCAAGCATGTGTTGCCATCATCATCTTCCTTCTCCTCATAATAGAAATAGACAAAGGGAATCCACAGAAAGACGCAGAACAGTATGATTGAGTACAAAGCTAGAGAAAAAGTTTAATTAAGTGAAGAGATGAAGTTACATTGGCACATTACTGCATAGTAATTCAAAGAAAGAATAAAACATTAGTTTCCTGTCATTCTGTTATTAATTTCAAACATTGAAAATTTAATAAAATTCACTAGCCAGCATATGGACTACTACTGTTTTGTGAACTCCAAAGGACTTGATAGAGTTAACCCCTTCAGACTAAGGATTTCAGATCCATCTTCAACACTAATAGACTAAAAGTAATCAACTCCTGGAATCACAGAACATGCTGAGTTACAAGGGACCCATCAGGATCATCGAGTCCAATTCCTGGCCCTCTGCAGGACACCCCAAGAATCACAGAGGTGAGTTACAGTACTAGCACACTGAGGAAGAGCTAGTGTAGAGGACAGTGAATAAAAGCCAGCTAATGTCACCTAATAAGTTGTACACAGAAAATATAGATTAAAAAAACACACTTAAAGCTATTTTGATCACTGGGTTCAATTTCAGGTGATGTTCCACTATTGATGTAAGTACATTATAGATGGAAGGTGTGGTTCTATCACTGATGACCTCAATTCCCAAAACAAAACAAGCTGTAGCAATATAGTATCATCACTACACATTCCTTTCTTAGGAATGACATTTTAGAGGAAGGACAAATTAGAAGTTGCAACAGACATTTATCTGAGTAGCCACTAAACCAAAACAGTCCTACTGTCATATTACTCTGACACACAGATCATAAAAAAAGTTTTAACCAGCTAGTTTAACAGACATGAAGAGTTTCCCATATATGTCTTCACAACTACTAACTGGCAAGTTTTGAAGACATTAGGACAGCTGGTCAAAATCAACTGGACTGATTAGAGAGTGATATGAAAAGGAAAGACCAATTTCAAATACAGAATTTCAAGTATAAATCTGCAGCTCCCTGTACTAGACATTACATACGTTTTAGAACATACTTATTTAGCAAAACCTTTCACTACTTTTAAATATCTTACTTTACAAACACCTCAGAAGTCCATTAGGAAACTAAAAGCCATCAAGCAGTATGTTACAGTCTATGCACTCCATAAGGGAGGTATGCTGGAATAGCTTAGCAAGCCCTCAAAATGTTCGAAGTACCACACAACAAAGGTTGCTTGTGCAACCACAAAAATCACACCATTGAAGGGGTAAATAAAAATACCCAGGACCTGTGATCTTTGGCTATTTTTTATCTTTGCCTGATTTTGCATAACTAACTGGCACCTTTCCATCACTAATATATTCACCCTGACTTAAGTTTGTGACCTCTTATCCTAGCCCGTGCACTCCTTATCATACTCATGTGCTCCAAAGAAATCTACCTCAGCATTTTTACTTGAAGTGGTGTAGGAGCCAAATCAAGTATTGCCACCTAGAACCTAAAAACAAATCAGGATTTTCCTTCTAAAATTTATTATTTAAAAAAATATTTTTCACTGTTAAAGGTATCTACTGTTTAGAGTGCTTAGTACGGCATTGTAAGAAGAGAAACAAGTTCCCTACTTCATAAATTCTCATATTATCCAAGAGCATAACATTCTAAGCCCCTCAGTTCAGGAAGGATATTGAGGTGCTGGAGCAGGTCCAGAGAAGAGCAACCAGGTTGGTGAAGGTACTTGAGCACAAGTCCTATGAGGAGAGGCTGAGGGAGCTGGGGTTGTTTAATCTGGAGAAGAGGAGGCTCAGGGGAGACCTCATCACTCTCTACAACTCCCTGAAAGGAGGTTGTAGCCTTGGGAGTTGGTCTCTTCTCCCAGGCAACCAGCAGCAGGACAAGAGGGCACAGGCTTAAGCTCTGCCAGGGAAAGTTTAGGTTGGATACTAGGAAGACATTTTTTTATGGAGAGAGTAATCAGACACTGGAATGGGCTGCCCAGGGAGGTGGTGGATTCACTGTCCCTGGAGGTTTTTCAGATGAGACTGGATGTGGCACTTAGTGCCATGGTCTAGTAACCACGGCAGTGTTGGATCAAGGGTTAGACTTGATGATCTCTGAGGTCTTTTCCAACCCGGCTGATCCTATAATTCTATGATTCAGGGCTTTAGAACACCTTAAAACTTCAGTCTCTGAAATGCAGCCTTCTTAACACATTGTAAAGCAGTACTCATACTACTTCAATATTGTGAATGCGTTCAGAAATCAAGCCTCTCTAAATCTGATTTTTTTAGACTAGGTTTAGATCACAATGTGTCAGTAAATTAGGCAAGTTAAGTTACATGCACCAAAAATGGGGGAAGTGAGTTGAATCAGTTGGTTAGAGCACAGTGCTAATAATGCCAAGGTTGTGGGTTCAGTCCCCATAAGGGCCATTCACTTAAGAGTTGGACTTGATCTTTGTGGGTTCCTTCCAACTCTGAATATTCTGTGAATATTCAGAATAATCTGAAATCAGAATAATCAGCCACAGAGGTCACCACAAGCAAAGAGACATCCTGACTTTCAAGTTATACTGAATTCAGAATATCTTACTCATAAGGTAACACAGCTCATTACACAATGGGACTGATCCATGTTTCTTCCAAGAGGACAAAGGAAGAAACAGAAATTCAAGCAACTATCTATAAAGTGTGGGTAACTTTATTTACAGAAAATCATTTAGGTAACTGCTACCATAATAATTTTATAGGACTGTAACAGAAAAAAGGTAGTTTTGCCTTTCCTTTTCCCAAGCAAAGTAATTCCAAGACAGACCTTTTTGTTCATGCATCAGGTGAAATCATAGAACTGCCTGTGATAATCTTTTAGTTAGAAAAGATTAAAATTAAATTTGTAAAATTAAATTTGTAACTCACATAGTTAAAGAAGCAAAATATTGTTCTTGCTATCATATTACGGAGGTAACTTTAAAAGATCTGGCCAAGTTCCTGTCAACAGGACAGGATCATCTAGGGTTTTAATTTTATTTGTCAGAATTTCTGAAAAAGAAAAAGCAGCATCTTTCATCAGCTCATACAAGTTAGATTCCCAAGGGCAAGCCTTCAGTTCCCTGTTGTTCTGCCCAGCAAAAGTTCTGTTCATTCCCTGAAAGACTAACCTTCAAACACCGAGGTCTTGCAGCAGCAAACAGTCAGTCAACTGACAAAGTCAGTCAAGTGACAAAGATATTCCCTTCCCCCTAACTCCCCTGTGCCCTGACACACACACTTGGCTTCCATTATCACATTTCTACGAACTTCAGTTTTAAATCAGAGACTGCTCTTTGCTCTAGTTCAGAGGTTGTTTCTGTTACAAGATATTTTTCTGGGTTGTATCAGAAGCTTGTACCACTTGAAGGATGCTTTACTGCATAGCCAGTACAACGGTGGGTCCTGCCACTGAATCTAAGTAGCCTTCAGCAAGAATTCCTTAGTAAGGTTTGCCTGTTTTAAACATGTTCCTCAGTCAAAATTATTCAATGAGCTGATTTGAACCATATCAATCAATACAAAGGCATCTGACCTGTGAGAAAGTTAGACTCCATAGTAGCCTTCAAGTAATTATAGCAATGTTATTGAGTGTTCTGACTGAGTTTTATTTTTTCTCCTAGCAGTATGAAAGGAATTAAGAACATGAGGAACAACAAAGGACAGCAAAATATAGTAGGTGAAAGGAACCAGAAGTCCAAGCCCTTGTATCACTGGCTCAGTATCAAACATTTGCAGTAAGCAGCCAAAAATCCATCCAAAAAGAGTACCTATTTGGATAAATTCTTACTCAAGAACTTCAACCTAGGAACCACCATACACAAACTATTGCTGATTAAAGACAAAAAGAAATGGAAAATCTGAAGTTTAGCATAGACTTTGAAGCACACAGGAAGAGATCCCATAGAATTTAGCATCCAGTCCTTGCCACACTCTAATTAGGAGACACTTAACACATGCAGGCCAAGAGATCTCAGTTTATCTCACAGGAACGAGAGTATCTACCAATGGCACCCTTTCACCACTCACAAAACTTGACCAAAGGACACTGAACACCAAGATGACTTCAACAGTAGGATTTACTCACTCAAGGAAGAACTAAAGAACGTGGCTTCAGGTTACTGTCAATTGTTTCGACCCCGTTCCTTGTGGTATAAAGCAAACTGTGTTGGACTGTTTCCAATTATAACACTTTATGAAAAGAGTTTCCCTCCCAAAAAAACTAACATGGATGATTCTTCAATCACTCAAGTAAAGTGACATGTTGTATTACAGTTGGGTTTAGGAGAATTAACACACTAAGCAACTATGGCTTCAAAGCAATCAGTTGACTGATTTCTTACAAAAAGCTTTTAGGTTACTGAAATCCCACTTCAAAATACAGTTATTTCAAGCTTCACTCTGAAAATACCTTGTCCATCATTCTACCAATACAAACTCATTCTACTTTTGTAGCGGTCTAGCCAAGCAACAGGGTGGGTATGAAAGATAGAATATTTTTTGTGGGGGCTAGTAACTAAGGATAAAATAAAAAGCTCTTCTGCATTTAGTTACAGCTTTATCAGTAAAATGTAATATAAATAGCAAAGTAATCCTTAATATTCTAAAACATCAGTTAAACCACAGCCTCCAAATTCTTGTTACAATTAGAAGTGACTTGAACTGAAAGGCAGTGACCCAAGTGCACCAATTATTCATACTATAAATCGCCAGTAAAACTGCAGGAGTCAAGTGGTATAGTGACATAATTATCACTGCATTTTCATGAGACACAAGGAAACACTGGAATTCCCATCCTTAAGTACAAAAGGATACTTCAGTTCTGCTCATTCTTCTTGTTAAAAAAAAGGCAAGACCAAATACTTTTACAAGAAGATACAAGTAGAAAAAATTGAACAGTACTACAAGACTGGAAAAATTGTTTAAGTTAATCCTTCTCAGCTCTTCCTCTCACTATGCTGCGCAACAGCAGCAGGAGACTAGATGATGTAGGAGAGGCAATAAGTTGTGTTTTTATATATTAGGGATAGAGACTTCTGAAAAATAAGTTACCTATTATTGCTCACTTCAGTGTAGCTCTAGTTATAAAAATATCTATCAACTCCTCAAATTAAGATAACAACAGAAAAATGTTTTTAAAAACATCTTTAAATCTCTACCACCATCTGGAGGATATGCTATGAAATAAAACATTCCTCCTACAATATTTCAAGTAGACCTGTCCAGACAAATCAAAAACAAAAGCAGTTTTCCAAACTGAAGTTCACATCTATTCCAATGATTAGTTTGGGATTTACCAAGAGACTCAGACCAAAACATCTTACAGAAATTCATCAGTCTCGTTAATCTATAGAAAACTGCCCACAGAAGTTTCATGACTGCTTCATGTCAGAAGCTGTGAAATACCTGGGCTGTTAAATAAGACCTAAAAAGAGTAGAGAGCAAAACCAAAGCAATTCCACTATTACATACTAAAGAATCTTTGTGGAAGATAACTAGTTTTTAGAAGTTCCTTTTTGAAAACAGAAGTGTCTTACTACTTTTGACTTTAGGTTTCACTCAGCATGAAACTGCACATTTTAGTTTTGGTCAGTATCACTGACTGTGGTTACTTAACAAGAAGTCCAGTACTTAGAACCATTTCCTGATCTAAAAAAAAAATATTCAAAAGAGCCAACTCGTAGTCTTCCAAGACTTCCAAATGTCAAGTCTTAGCAAATGTTACCAAAGGCAGGACCAAAGCAGACATTTCACTCAAAGTTATATGCACTCTTCTACAGCTACCCCTTATTACTCACTAGTTCCATAAGGACAACTAAAAAACTGATCTAGGACTATGCAGCAGTTTGGTGAACAATAATGTTATTATTACATTTCATTTCAGTCCTTTTTTTTTAACTTCAGTTCTGTTCAGGATTATCACTCTTGAATCAAGTCCTTTATGCTCTTTCACCGTAGTTGTTACTTTGAACACAGCAGTTACTGAATCTGAACACTTAAAAAAAGTGTCATGGTTGCACGAATTTTATACGTGGTAGGCAAGTTTCACACTGTTGCATAACCACACTTCCCTTAAGGGACTGCTGAATACACATACAGGAAACGTGTACAGGAACCATAGATTATAGAACAGATTTTCATGGACTGGCCTTCAGTATAATTGCATGTTTAGGGGGCTCTTGAAGGTAAAAACATTACCTGAAGGGCACCAAGTACAACATTTACGTTTAACCAAAAAGGGACAATCCAGTATGACTTTAAAAACTTTATGCCTTCACTTAAAGGTCCTATTAATTGGAAAAAAATTAAAATACTTACTGTAATATCCATAAAGTACAGTGTCTTCAATTTGTCTTGAAACATTAGCATCAGCCCAGATCTAGCAATAAAGGACAGAAGCATTTATCATCAAATGAAACCTAATAACACTACAAGAGAATAACTCATTCAAGGACACTAATATATAGATGGATATAAAAAAGTTATCTCTAAAAAAACTAGACACTAGACTGCTAGCAACATTGAAAATTACTGGGAAAATGGGAATAAGCATATGACAGTTTCACACAGGGAAGATTTTAGACCTGAAAGAACACTGAGTAGTTATGGCAGCTCCTAAGTATGTTCTGTTAATTCCCACAGTTATCTTAATAAGAGTCTCTTAAGATCACCACAGAATGGTTTGGGTTCAAAGGGACCTTCCAAATCATCCAGTCCATCCCTCCTGCCCATGGGCAAGAACACCCTTCACCAGGTCAAGTTGCTCAAAAACCCATTCAACCTGATCTTGAACACTTCCAATGATGGGGCATCTACAACCCCTCTGCACAACCTGTTATAGAGTCCCACCACTCTCACCACAAAAAGTTTCTTCATGTCCAATTTAAATCCAAACTCTCAGTTTAAAACTGTTGGCTTTTGTTCTGTCTCCACGGGCTTTGGTCAAAACTGTTTCCCCATCTTTTTTATAACCTCTTTGTATATTAAAAGGCTGCAATAACATTTCTCCAGAGCCTTCTCCTCTCAGGTTGCCATAACATTTCTCCAGAGCCTTCTCTTCTCTAGGCTGAACAACCCCAACTCTTTCAAACTGTCTTCATAGGAGAGGTGTTCCAGACCATTTTTGTGGCCCTGTTCTAACAGCTTTCTTGTGCTGTCAGCCAAAAAGATGGACACAGTATACAGTGCACACAATATTTCTATCACAGAATATCTTTGATTAAAATTTACATTTATAGATGAAACAGTACTTAGACATAAGAATAACAACTTTTTATTATGCTCAGTTATAGCTCAGTAACTTTTGGTTTTCTAGTTATTCACCCAATTTTTGCTGATTAGATGTCAAAATGCATGTGTACTCATCTCCCTTTTCAGAAGTAATGAGACTTCACTTTTTTGTTTGAGCAAGACTTGAATTACACAAATACTCAATTTAGCAACTTAGATCTACAACTCCAAACTCAACAGCACTGATATCCCTTCCTTGAACAAGAGCAGGTGTAACTATGTTACTCAGTCCTGGGGAATGGTTCAGAGTGTGGAAGCAATGAAAGTGAAAATACAAATCTATGCTAGAAACGGCAGTCAGCCAGATGGTTGAAGTCAAGCTCTTGCACCCATTCCCTTTTTCTCCTCCTAGAGAGGAACTACTGGTTTAAGGAAGCTAAATATCTTATAACAATGGTTGGCAGCCAAACTCAGGGATTGAATACAAAGGTTCAAACCTGCCATTACAGCCTAAATATATCCAGAATTGTTTTAGTCTCATGGGATCCAATCTATACGTGGTCAAGATCACGACAGTAGTTATCCAGAGGCAAAACTTTTTAAAAGCTAGAGAACACATCAAAATAACTGAATTGCTGAAAAAAAAAAAAATCCAGTACTCTTGAAGCTCCTTTCAATTTCTATATGCAAGCTTTTTCTAAACTGGTAAGATCAAGCCCTTTCAGTCGTAAAGATGTGCAACTAATACAGAGAGATATGAAAATGCAAGTGAGTATACTCCTTAACAAGTGCTATCACAAGACTTGAAGACATTTGGCACTTGCTTTATCAGTTCTCTCAGTACTCAAACTCTTATGGAATATGGGCTTTATGACATACCATGAACACTTGATTTTTCTATTATCTCAGAAAGTCAGCACCACCTTCCTTTTTGTTACTGTATTAAGACTTCCAGTAGGTCACATTACACTAAGCTTTTAACATTCACTATCTGAACTGAATTACATTTTCATCCAACTGGAATTTGAGTAGAAAAGTACACATGCATTTTGACATCTAATCAGCAAAAAGGAAGGATGAAAAATATTTTAGCAGAAGGGGGCAGAAGCAACACCTGAAGTGTCTGTCAGTTACACAATAAGCTAAATCTTTGAAGGCTGTCAGGCTCAAGCCTGACAGTGTTTCAACTAAGAAATTTCTAGTCATTTGCATTAAAATACACCATGAAAGAATCTTATTGTAGTAAGTTAATACTACAGAACACTAAAGCATTTAAATTGCCTACTGTTAAAAATTAGGAGAATGCATTGCTTTAGTTATGCCTAAGGGAAAAATCAGGGTTGAACTGGACAGTTTGCATTATTTGCTTCCAAGTAAGTATTGGAACAAGGTCTCTCCTGTAAGTGATGGACACATTCAAACGCACACTAATCAAGGTTAAGCAAGAAAAGTAGCAGTAAGACCTGACGTTTAAGTGGCACAGTCACTGTACAGGAAGAGGTAGCTAGTAATGGAAATACAACAGTGCTTAGCTGTCAAATAACTGCTTCTCCCTCAACTACAAAAAAGCATTAACAACATTTAGAACACAATACAGATGTAGAACTTGAAAACACTGTAACTGCTCTTCAATTTATTTCTCAAATTAAGTTGCATACAGGACCAGAGTAATATTCTAGGAAACATACACTACACCACGCTAAAATGGTGAGATGTTATCTTAAATAAACAATGTCAAGGTGCAAAGATGTATGCATTTTACCATCATTTAGATCTGCCCCAACATACAAACTTCACACTACTCTGCACAGAAAGAAACTGTAATGCAAGCCAATTTAATATTTATTATGTCAGCTTTCAGTCAGCTGTCGAAGTCCCACATTTATACAGAGGCAAAAAAACTTATTCTAACTGGCAAATTATCTGGTGTGGCATACGCACACACCATCAGTAACTCAAAAGCAGTGACTAGTTCATTTGAGCTGTTTCAGAAACCAGTAACAGCAGCACTCTCTCATCAGAAGCAAGAAACAGTACTACCTAGTGAGTGTCAAGAGCTCTGACATTCTCAGCATCACTGGTGACATATCAAGCAGCTAGGTATATGAATCTACTGAACTAGCACATATCCAGGACTCAGCTGAGAACTCATCTGGACAGCCTGTAAATCTTGTCTGTTTTTCTTCTCCATCCATTACAACCTAAGTTTACAATATATACAGCAAATACCTTAGAAGTACAATAGATTAGGAAGGTTAGAATTCATTAATGCCTTCAGCAATAGTTTAAGGTTGAAAATGTGACCACAAATTCTCTTAAGACCTGCAGAATTCAGGCACTCTGCACTGTTCTGCTGTATTTCATTCTCTTCCATGCAGTTTAGCAAGCATATAACACAGGACCTTTAAAATACCTGTAACAGCACATTGCACTGTCAGATAAGGGAAGTCACAAATTACAAGGATATGTGCAATGAGTATGATTACCCACATTAAGCTATTATGCATAAGTATTCTTTAACATAAGTCATGCTAAATGCACCTACAAGTGTAAAAAGTAAATATATAAGTAAAATGTTGCTATGTAAGGAAGGATGTAAAGGAGGCAGTTTGAGACACTTCCAGTTTACCTAAATGCTAAAACCAAAGCAAAGCTTCCTCAGAAGATTAATTTAACAATTATATTCATACAAAATTAGTTATGAAGAACATTTGTTCCCCCAGTAATCACTGAGCTGAGTCTTTACTCTCCTAGCAACTGTGTCCAGTTAGCGACTCGTGTTAACGTATTTCAACAGAACACTACTATTCCAACTGTACAGGTAACTTCCCCAAATGAAAGCAGTACAAGTTAATCTGACAGTTTTGACCTACCCCATTTTTTAATGGGGGAACAGTCATGAATTCCATTCCTTTGCCCCCATTAAATGTGACGTTTCTACTGTCACTGTTGGACCCTGCGAGAGTTTCATGAGTACCCAGTGAACACAGACATACACAGTTCAGAATCCTGTCTTGTTCAGGACAAGAAGCATGGTCTCAGTCATTAATGATTTCTCATCTAACACCTTTCTATAAACAAAATCCCCTGACATTTCTATTGGTTTGTATTCTGAGCATCTACATAATGAGTTGCTCCCCCACCACCATCCTTGCAAGATGCAAAAAAAACCTTTTACAGACCATTCTATTAAGTATCTCCCACTAAACAGATGCTACTCCTTGAACCATTCAGGAGACAACCGGCTTTCAACAGCTCAGGCTGTTGTGATACATTCAATCTAACCAGACAAAGAAATGCCATTGGCTTTTAACTTCATATAGCAGTAAGAATCCATATATATCAAAGTGAAAAGGTTTCATCACCTTCTCTGCCTTCTGCTAAAACAACAGTAGAAAAAAAATAGTGTGGTGACAGCAGTATCCTTGTTTCCTGCTGCAAGAACACATCAGTTACATTTTAAATATTTGAAGCCTGTAGGTCAGACCCAGAGGGCTTGAGTTCCAGCAGCAATTTTAAGTTTTTAAGCTATAGTGAGGTTTTCTGTTCCTAAGTGCTTGTTATAAATCAAACAAGCTTTCAGATCAAACAGATCAGATACAACAGGATATATTTGAAGTCCACTGAAACAAATCATAGCACTGTAAATGCAAACAGAAAAAACCTTGAGCTCAAAGTGATGCTGGTGAATATTACCATGACATGACTTACGAGGTAATACTCAATTTGTTTATTAGTACTAAAACCAAAAGCCTTCTTTCCTACTGAAGCAGCACTATGAATCAAAGTAATCCCAGCCTCCAGGAAAGGTGTTGCAGTGAATTCTACTACACAATTAGTGTGCAAAACTTTCTAATAACAAACCTGCTCAGTTCACTCACTAAAAAAGCTTTAAGATAATATCTGCTAAGTTTTTCAAAATATGATGGGAGATACCGTTATGTAATAAATGCTTCAAGCCGCTCGTTTATAGTAAAGAAGAACTTGTCTTAACTAAAAGATGTATAAATAATACCTTAACAGTCCTGTTGACATGGACAAAACCTCAAGGTAAACAATCAAGGCCAATCAAGGCACAGCATATAGCCCTTGTCAAGGCAGGCCCCCTCAGAACACATGATGAAAAAAGGCTACACAATACCTTAAGGTGAATTCCTCCAGAAAACAGCATAATTTTTACAGCTTTCAGAAGGGTGCTCTGCTTGGGTAATACAGTTCAGACCATCAAGCCAGTCCTCCTAGCCAAGGCACATATACCCTCTACATTTGTCACCCAACACACACACAATGAGAACTTTGAACCACCAGACCATGCATTCAATTTAACCTGTGCTATTGACATAATGTGCTTCTCCCTGAGTTTGCTACAAGCCTGTTCACAGCAAAGCCTCAAGAATATCTGCAAGTAGGTAGAACAGTAAGATTCATTAAAAATTAACTGTAAGTCCACATATAGTACCTCTTCGTCCTAGGTTGAGCATCCTTGTCATTCTCATCACTCTAATATAAATATATATATATAATAATGGCCAGTCTTCACGAGTGAAGATCCGGGGAAGGTCTTTACACCTTCCAGCCTGCGTATTGGATTTTTTAGGTGAGACACAGTGTGCGCGGAACTGAGCCCACCCTTTAATCCTAAGGTTCATCTGCCGGGGCCAAGCGAGCTTGGACAGTGGCAGTGAGGTCCTTAGGACGTAGGTGGGTTGCCTTTAAGGGCTAACGAGCTCCACCTGCCCGGGAGTGGCCCTGACCGGGAATCGAACCTGGGTCTCAGCGGTGACAGAGCCGCGCCTTTACCACTAGACCACCAGGGGCTCCACTCACTCTAATACTGATAGTAGAAATTACACTTGGGAGGTAGAAGAAAAGACTACATAAAGAATTGTTTACCTACAATCTTGGTAACTGCCACTATTCTCTCAGCATGAGCCCTGGAATCATCCAGTTGGAAGGTCTTTTGATGAAATAACTAATTTATCTACAGAGAATGTAATTCACATTTGCTACCTGGATCTGCCTCAAAAAGTCACTGAGAAGACCATAGTAAAGACCTAACTCCCTCTGGTCATCCAAAGCAACAAAGGGGTTTTGCCAGTCATAGAGAGAGGGTCTTGGAAGTATTGGATTTGAAAGAACGGTCCAGAAAAAGGTCAGTAGTATCCTGAAAATATTCTGAACCCCATCAAGTCTGTCCTACTTGTGAAACAGTAGCAAAAAAGAAACAAGTGTTACCCAGGACAGTGTTAAAACCTTTAAGGATTAATAAAGATCTGATGTTAAGGTGTTGTCAGCCTCCTAACTCAACATTACTTCTAAGCTGAAATTAACAAATCAATAAAGTTGTGTTTACCTACAGGTCTCTATGTTCTGACTGATTTATTTCAACACCTGTGTTGGATTAAATGCATTTATATCAAAAGATCTCACATTACTGCTGCAAAGCTAGAAACTCAAATCAGCTGAGACTTAAAAGACACAGAAGAATTCTTCTGCAAGGCACTATGGAGCAACTTTATTTCAACAGGCCATCAGAAGTATCTACAAACATTAGGAACTAAGCAGGACCAAGAAGCTTCAGAAGCAGAAGTAAAAAGATACTCTACAGAAGAATGCATACATTAGCAAAATACGCCTCCTTTGCAACAGGACATTCTGCTTAGTCCCTATTAGATGTAACTAGGTCCAGCTGAAGAGTGCACATCACGGTTATTACTCTAGATAGTCAGGCTCAATTTATTTCAAAGTAATATACTGAGTATTATTTTCATTGAATTGCTAGAATCCTGACATGTGAAAGGTCTCTTCCATCTTTATATCCACTTCAATTCTGAACCAAAAAAGTCTGAAGACACAAACTTTTAACAGTAATGTCTTTTAATAGACACAAACTTTAACTGAGTAATGCCTTCATTTATTCAGTAATATCATTGAGCAACAGAAACAACAACAATCCCATCACAACTCAATTCTAAAAGCCAACAAAAGGAAGATTCAGCATAAAACTTGCATTTATATAATCACCAGCAAGCTTGTTTTGAAGCATTATCACAGATCCAGAAAGACCTATACTTTCCTTTGGGAGAAGAGCTGAAAGTGAACACAGGTTTTGAGTTGCAGGTATTTACCATTTTCCCACCCTATCATTTGTTTCAGGATCATAACCTTTACTACAGATCCAGGCAGGCTCCAAACCAAACTAAGTTGTTTTTCAGGTTACCAATATGCTCCAGTTCGACCTCCTGTTACTCACTGTGTCCTCACAAAGACAGTAGGTCACTATCTTCAAGAACTCTCCTTGAAAATTAAAAATGCCAATACTTTAAGCATTGGGAAGAACTCCTACTTACAGCAATGCTTAAAGCAGATGACAACCATTACTCATCTGTTTAAAAACTTATTTTGCACAGTAACCCCCTACAGTTTATAAATACAGTACGTTCAGTTAAAGCTCTGTCAGTCAGGAGAAGATACTACCGTATTTCCCTCCCCCAAGGGTTTTCAGAGCTTTCCCTCTTTCAAAAGGGTGCTTATTAATTCAGGTTTTAAATTAAACATAGGTTAACACAGTAAATCTTCATAAACCTTAATGCTTCCATACCAAATTTTATGTTGGCAAACAAAATAATCCTAAGTTACAAATGGGCAATACAGTCTCTTTTTGATCAAAGGTGCAACAAATTTTTTTCCACAATGTCCTGTTATAACGTAGTAAAAATCAACACTTAAGCAACTTGTTGATCTCTTCAGCATGGTACACTCACTCTTTTTTGCATAACAGAAAGAACAAGCATTTGGAAATCAGTAGAATATTTAAGATAAATAAAAGAAGTGAAAACTGAAATCTAGCTAAAATAGTAAGAGCTCAGTGTTATATGCACAGCACTAATATCCAGCTTTGAAAAAACTCAGTCACTGAAACAGGTATTAGCACTGATTTTAAACACTTTGACAGCTTAAGAACATCCTTTTGCAACACAAGTGCTCCTCCTGAAGAGGTAATTAACATTTTTAAAAGTCCATACCTTAAATGTACCATTTTGGTTTTTCATATACGAAACCAAAAAGATGTCCACCGGCAGCAGTGCTGATGTGATAAGAGCAACGGCCAACGCAAATATTGCTGTTATGGTAGAAATCACTTCACTTTCCCGCCGACTCTGATACTTGCGCACGTAAACCCAGCAGAAAATTAGAATGGCCTGAAATACATAGCAAAAGAGGCTTAAGAGTTGTATAATAGGAATGTCAGCAAGCAGGTACTGATGTTAGAGTCTGTACGGATAACTGGCAGAGCATCAACACACGTTTTAACTGAACACTGGACATCAGCGTCACATTCACCACATTCAAGTCACCCTTTTGATTACGAACGGTGTGAGCAACAACATCAGCGCTCCCGCACGGAACAGGCGAAAACACAAACAAGCAGCACAGACCGCACAGGCAGGAGGTCAAGGCAGCCCCCTCCCGCACCCCCGGGCTCCGCGGTGCCCGACGGCCGAGGCAGCCGCGGGGGCGCAGGGAAGCGCCCACTGCCGGGGCAGGCTGGGGGGCGCTGCCGACAGGACCCGGCGGCGAGTCCAGCTCTGCAACAGCGAGGGGCCGAGCAAAGAGGGGCGGCCGGCCCAGGGGAAGGGAAGGGACGCGTGAAGGGCCACCGCAGGGCGGGGGAGCCGCCTCTCACCAGCAGCGCCAGGCCGAAGAGGCACCATCCCGTCAGCAGGTCGGAGGCGGCCGCCGCCATCTTCGCTCCCGTCAGCAGCGGGCCGGCCGCCCCGGGGCGGCGCTTATGGACGGGCGGGAATGGCGTCACCGCGGGGCCGCCTAACACCGGCCGTGACGTCAGTGGCCAAGGGCGTGACGTCACGCGCCCGCTCTCGCTGTGGTCGCCACAGCCGCGCTCCCGTCCCGGCCGGGCACGGCCCGCCAGAGGGGGCTGCGGCAGGGCACGGCCCGCCGTGGGGAGGCTGCTGGCCCGGGGCTCGTCCCGCTGTGGGGGGCTGCGGCCGGGCACGATCCGCCAGGGGGGGAACTGCCGGCCCGGGGCTCGTCCCGCAGGGAGAAGCGAGGAGAGGCAGGACCCCCCTGCCCCGTCCCACGGCAGAGCGCAGCCGTCTCGGGGCAGGAACGGGGGATCGGGGCGCATCTGAACGATGAGGTGCCTTCACCTCCTGCTCCCGAGGGGGTTTCCCTGTCCTTCCCTTCCGAGTCCGGGAGGCAAAGGCAGGGCAACGCGCGGTCCGCAGGGACTCCTGCCTGAGGAGCAGCGGGAGGGCAAAGAGGCGGATGGGGAAAGATGGAAAGTGCGCTGAGAGGTATCGGGGCACCTTCAATCCCCTTGTTGTTGCCTCTCTCCGTAAAAGTACCTACACCACCTCCGTACGCCGCCTGCAGCCGCCCGGAAGCGCCGGGCAGGTGTGGGGCGGTGCCGCCGTGTCGGACCCGCGGATGTGGGAGATTCCCGCGGGAAGGTGTGCCGGCACCCCCGCACCCCGGTGCCTTTGTCCCGGGCTCGACTTCACCGCGATGGGGCGGGATCGTGGCCTGGCGGCACGCCCCGCCTCGGGACGTCGTTCCCGAATCGAGGGTGGCCGTGGGTGTGGGCTTAGAAGGTGCTGCGGGGAGCTCGCGTTCCTGAGAGTGGCTTTGGTGGCTCGGGGAGCGGGAGAGGCTCACCTGAAAGGTCCTGGCGCCTATCTTAGTTTCTTAGTATCATCAGGGTTGGAAGAGACCTTTAAGGTCATCAAGTCCAACCATCCACCCATTGTTACCCCTAAACCACTAAACCACATCACCCAGCGCCAGATCCAGATGCCTCTTTAACACCTACATGGATAGTAACTCCGGCACCTCCCTGGGCAACCTATTCCAATGGCTGACAACACCAACAGTGAAAAAAATTTTCTACTATCCAGTCTGAATCTCCCCTATCTCAGCTTAGGGCCCTGAGGTTGAGTGCAAAAGGGTCTGTCTGCAGGAGTGCCCGGGGGTAGCCCGGGGCCCTGTCTAGGTGTGCGCTCAGGTGAACTAGTTCTCTCTGGAAATCATATTTGGTGATATGTGTGGTGGAATAGCTTTGCCAGACAGTGGCTGATATCTTTGCTGAGCTTCAATTTTCTGTGAAAGTGTTGTCACATCACTCACAAGCTGTGCCGGGGGTGGTTGGGAGCGGCAGGAGTTCAGATGACCTTGCAGCTTTGCAAGAAGGGATCTCTGTTTGGGGAGACAGGAGCATTGGAAGCATACCCTCAGAGTAGTGGACACATGCTGTACTTCTCCATGTGGTGTCTGGGTACTGTGGAGGGCACTGGTGTGTGGCAGCATTCATGAACTAAGTGATAATTGAGCTGAGGAAGGTTCTGGAGAGCTTGTAAACCTTGCATGTAGGTACCTGCAGGGGCCGTGTTGACTCGTGGAGGGAAATGTTGCTTGCAGGGGCAAATACATGTACCATGTGTTAAGTTATTGTGAGAACAGTGCAGGTGAAAGGAAAATGTAGTGAATATTCACAAGATGCTTGGATGGTTGGCCATGGGTGCATTTTTTAGGTGAGCTTGCAGCATTGCAAGGAAGACACTGCTGGTGGAGAAGTGGTGGTGTGTGGGTGTGGGGTGCTTGGCTAAAGCAGGCACTATGAACAAACCATACTAATAGGCCTTAGCCTGCCTTAGCAAGAGGCCTGCTTGCAGGTTGCGGGAAAAGTACTGGCACAGGTGTGTGCTCAGGTGAACTAGTTCTCTCTGGAAATCATATTTGGTGATATGTGTGGTGGAATAGCTTTGCCAGACAGTGGCTGATATCTTTGCTGAGCTTCAATTTTCTGTGAAAGTGTTGTCACATCACTCACAAGCTGTGCCGGGGGTGGTTGGGAGCGGCAGGAGTTCAGATGACCTTGCAGCTTTGCAAGAAGGGATCTCTGTTTGGGGAGACAGGAGCATTGGAAGCATACCCTCAGAGTAGTGGACACATGCTGTACTTCTCCATGTGGTGTCTGGGTACTGTGGAGGGCACTGGTGTGTGGCAGCATTCATGAACTAAGTGATAATTGAGCTGAGGAAGGTTCTGGAGAGCTTGTAAACCTTGTATGTAGGTACCTGCAAGGGCCGTGTTGACTCGTGGAGGGAAATGTTGCTTGCAGGGGCAAATACATGTGCCATGTGTTAAGTTATTGTGAGAACAGTGCAGGTGAAAGGAAAATGTAGTGAATATTCACAAGATGCTTGGATGGTTGGCCATGGGTGCATCTTTTAGGTGAGCTTGCAGCATTGCAAGGAAGACACTGCTGGTGGAGAAGTGGTGGTGTGTGGGTGTGGGGTGCTTGGCTAAAGCAGGCACTATGAACAAACCATACTAATAGGCCTTAGCCTGCCTTAGCAAGAGGCCTGCTTGCAGGTTGTGGGAAAAGTACTGGCACTGATATCAGGTTGCAAGAATGTAAACTATTGAGATAACGGGAAGGAACTCTCAGAGAAAGACAATGATTTCATACGCACGGACAGCACATGGACAGTGCATATAAACCAATCATATAGCAACATCTACTAAGTAGTAAGAAGTGTGTTTAACTATTGCAAACCAATTATGTAGTGTATGTACTTATAGTTAACCAATAATGTAGTGACATGTATGTGTGTAAGAGTATAAAACAAATGCTGTAACACACAATAAATGAGATCTGCCTATGGATCATATTGGTCTGCCTACAGTTGCTTCGTGCCCTCTCGGCCAACAGTGGTGTTTGGGAGGCTCATTCTGGAGGGGCAGATGGTTATGCTGGGTTTCCATTTGATGTGAGGGCATGGGCAGCAGGCAGGTGATATTGCAGTGACTGTGGTGCTCATGAGCTGAGTTCATGACAGTCCAGGGGGGTTCACAGTCCGATGAGAAAAGCAGCAGATACTATATAATTAGTTTTATGACAGTAAGCAGATTATGTATGTCCTCTTAGTTTGTTTTTGTTGTATATTTTCTGTTGTATATTTTACTATTAATGTGTATGTATTATCTTCACCACAGAAAATATTTCCCTGGATGTCATTACTATTAAATATGTATGTAATTCAAAACTGCCCTAGAACCCATGAAGAATTAAAAACCTTAAAGAACTGCATTAAAAAATAAACTATTCCCAAGAGGGAAAGGAAGTAATTTGCCCTTAGAGTATATAAAGGTTTTATGTTTTGTACGGCACACCTTTATCAATGAAATATTGATATACCAAACATTAGGGACCTGTAACTGGGTAAGGATTTACCCTGCTGTTAAAATAATAATAATAATAAAAAAACCAGTAGCTATAGCTACCACAATTCTTTTTGGTTTGAATCAAATGGTAGCATAAATATTTAACTTGCTATAGTAAATAAGCTTAAGTCTAACTTCAGCATGATCTAAAAATCTTTTCTATTCTAAATAGTTGAGTTTATGAAAAAAACCAGTCAAACCCCCAAAATTATATATTTTCCACTAACAGAAAAATCCAATCCTTGAGTATTTTGTTAAAATCTTCCTATATTTTTGCAGTAATTGCCATTTCTCTGTCAGACCCAGTCTTATTTGGTAAATATGGTTGATAACCTAGTTTTAATTGGGTAACAGGCAAGGTTTTCAACATTTCAGTAAAAAAGATCACATCCTTGCGTGTAAAATGATTACTGTAATTCATAGTTTAAAGGAAGAACTTCAGTTTTATTGGGATTGAAGTAGTGGTTTTATGTACAGTGCAGGCAAAATGGAAGGGTTTTTCATGTTACCATTATGCTATCTGAATATGGGTTTTTAATGCCATGTTACCACTAGCTTTCTGAGTCTTTTTTCTTTATTCCCTAAAATTCAGAGTTTATAAATTCATAGCATTTTCTCTCTTATTTTAGTGAAATCTTTATCTGAGGAATTATCTACAAGCAGACTTCAGAGGATCAATTTAATTTTTTTTCTTTACCATTGGGTGGGACACTGCAGATGTTAAGTACACACAAAAATGTAAAAAACAGTTTAATAGCAAAGCTAGTATTTTTTTAAATATTTAAATAGTAACCTTTATCTATGCCTTGTGCCAACAAAAGTCTTATAAACACAAGTCTTAAAAATGGTATTCAATTGATGTGTTGAGTTTTGTGATACAGAGAGAAATATCATCCTTTATTTACAACTCTGGGGAACCTAAGACTACCATTTTTCATGACTGTATTCACAGCTCTATCTGTAAGAGAGCACTCATGGATAAATTTGAGGTCATATTTCTCAATGTGTATTCACAATGTCTATTGACAGCACTACCCTTGAGGATACAGTGGTGTCATGGTTTAGGAATGGTATTCTCTAATTTAGTTCTCCCAGTAAAACCACATGGCACTCCCCCTGCCCCCTCCAATTAGAGGCACAAAAAGATCTCAGTTGGAGATTAGAAGAATTTAGTGGAAACCACAATGAGATAAGAAAATGAACAGTAACAGCAACAATATTAATAACAGAAGTGTATAAAAGAAGAAGTGATTCACATGCCAAAATGCTCACCATGGAGCTCACGACCCAAATGCAGTCCCACTGACATGAGAGAACCCTTCCATCCTTCTGTCTGGAAACAGACTCCCTTCCCCCACCCTCGGCAATAAGGTGAGGTGGTACAGAATAACCTTTGGGTCCTGGCTATGGCCCCTCCTCGCTACTGCAAGAAATCAACCCTACCCTGGCCGGAACCAGGACAGTTCGTTAGATGTTTCTTCACATCCCAGGGCTATGTTTGTGTTTCTCAGTCACTGTACACAACTTCCAGGATGGCTG